TACTAGTTGTACTTGGAATTTTGAATCTTGATGCTTAGTGAAGTCACCCACCTTCATCTCAGCAACCAGGAAAACTGCATAAATGTAGAATCTTAAAAAGTTACTACTAACTGCACCTGGGATGTTGGATTTCGGTGCTTAGTGAGCTTGAACTGAATTTGGGTTAGTGAAGAAAGAGTGACTTTTGGGACGGGATTTTTATGCGTTTTCGCATGATTTTTGTGAGTTTTAGGGCTTTATAATTGAAATGTTGTATGCTTTTGTCGGTGTTTTTGGTAGTAGTTGAGTTCCAGAAATTTGAAGGTTCTATTGGAAGCCAGTTATCGTGTCAAAATATCTTTAATGCTTTTTTTTTTTAAATTTTAGATCGTGGGAGCCGTGATGAAAGAGGTGGACGGGAGCGTCCAAGTCGTTGGGGTGATGAACGTGGCAGTGATCGTGGAAGTGACGGATTTCGTGGAGGGTCGGTGTTTTTGCATATTTTCAAATATAAATTAGGATTTTTTTCCTGTAATCTTCAAAATTCATCACTCCGGAACGGATCTATCTTGTGGTGGCTTAAAAAACAGTAGTGTCTCTGCATTTGAAATTCGGAAAAAGTGGCATGTTCAGGTGAGTTTTTGAAAGGCATCCACCTAAAAACGGACAGTTCTGGTTACTTGTGTGTGTTGTATGTATTCCGGAAAGCATCCTCTGTTGATAAGTTGCGTGTATGGTCGCTGTATCTGCGGAAAAAAGCAGTGGTTTGAAAAGAAAAAAAGTAAAATTTGGTTGAAAAAAAAAAAATTATAAGTGGTTTTTTGCCTGATAACGAGCTTCTAGCGTATTGTTGTGTACACACAGATTGGTGTCTCTTATCGTTTCATATCGTCATGAACACCCTGAGAGTGGTACTTATCGTACGCAGAGAACGATTACAGAAACTGAGACAGACAGACAGACATACACACCCATGATGTGGTGTGTTTGTCAGCACGGCACAACTGTTGGTATAAAGTTTTTACTTTCAAAAGAAAAGAAAAGCAGCGAGATTTGTTAGGATCAAAATTTATGGTTAGTTCCATCAGATTCGAATTTTCACGGTTCAACGAATTTTTCACGGCTTTTCATCAAATTACGATTACGATTTTTATGAAAAAAAAAAAAATTACGATTTTTAGCTAATTTTTTTGTCTAATTTTTGTTTGATTAATACAGTGATGAAGTGAAGTTGCTTTTAATAAACATTTCAAGGTATACAGAGAGATGCAGTATACTGCTACTGCTACGATTGCTCGATGCTGAATAATTGCAGATGAAAAGCTGATTCGCTC